GGGGGGAGACTTTGCAGGTTTGCCGACTTCTGGAAGAATCTGACTCAAGACGCCTGGGTACACAAGGTCGTGAGTCAGGGCTACCACCTAGAATTCGCTTCTCTCCCACCCCGCCGGTTCTTCATGTCCAGATATCCTCAGGGGCATCAAAAGGCTCAGGCGCTGCACGACGCGATCGGCAAGCTTATCCGTTCAGAGGTCATCATCCCTTTTCCAACTGAGGAGAGATTCCGAGGCTATTACTCAAACTTGTTTGTAGTTCCCAAGAAGGATGGATCTGTTCGGCCAATCCTGGACCTCAAGGAACTCCATACTTTCATTCGACCGCGAAGGTTCAAGTTGGAATCCCTCAGGTCTGTCATCGCGGCCCCAATTTTCTGTCCCCATCAGAGATTCTTGCGATTTGCCTTCCAAAATCGCCACTTCCAACTCACAGACCTTCCCCTTGGCCTGAACTCGGCCCCTCGTGTCTTTACCAAGATCATGTCGGTGGCCACTGCTCTAATCCGCACCAGGGGGATCTCCATAACTCCTTATCTGGACGATCTCCTGATCAAGGCACCTTAATTTGCAGTGGCCCAGCAGGCGTTGCACTTCACCATGGTTCGATTACAGGAGTTTGGTTGGTTCATCAACCTGGACAAGTCCTCGTTAACCCCAAGCCAATCCATGGTCTTCCTCTGGATGCAGTTCAACACCCAGACACAAACTCTCCCAGTGACAAGGTCCAGCATTTGCGGACCCTCGTGCGGTCTCTCCTCTCGAAGTCCCACACCGCGAGATTCTACATGAAGGTGTTGGGAGTCATGGTTTCGATGATAGAATCAGTTCCCTTCACCCAACGTCACCTCAGGGAGCTTCAGTGGAATATTCTTGCGGCCTGGAGGCACAAATCCCTTCTCCTGGAATTTCGTTTATCCCGCAGGACTCGAGTCTCTCTTCTCTGGTTGATGCAAACCAGTCACCTGACCAGGGGCAGACCCCTAGGGGATCCACAATGGTGACTGCTCACCACAGATGCAAGCCTCTCCGGTTGGGGAGCAGTGCAGAGGGTCGGTCAGCGCAGGGTCGCTGGTCTCTATCGGAACAATGTCTTCACATCAACCTTCTTGAGATACAGGCAATCCGACTCGCCTGTCAGCCATCTTCATTCCAGGTCTCTTAAACTGGGAAGCAGATTATCTCAGCAGACATCCCTAGATCCCTGCGAGTGGCCTGTAAAGGACAACATCTTCCACAAGATCACTCAAAGATGGGGGACGCCAGAGGTCGATCACAATCGTAAAGTTCCTCTCTTCTTTGCAAGGTCCAGGGACCCTCTGGCGGCAGACGCCCTCACCTCTCCCTGGGACTTCCATCTTGCGTTCATTCCAAGAAAGATCAAGAAACTTCAGAGAGAACTCATACTCTCATCCTCATAGCTCCAACATGGCCCCGTAGATCCTGGGTCTAGGATCTAGTACATCTCTCAGTAGAGGAACCTTGGCCTCTCATCCTGGACCTTCTCTCTCAGGGTCCAATCCTTCACCACTGTCCTGCCACCCTCAATTTGATGGCGTGGCTACTGAAACTGCGATCCTAAGACGGAAGGGGTTCTCTGACACTGTCATTCTACCATGCGTGCAGCCCGCAAACCGGTCTCCGCCAAGACGTACCATTGGGTCTGGTTCACTTTCCATTGGTGGTGCCAATGTAATGGTTTCAATTCACTGAAGTTTTCCACTCCACTCCTTCTGGCCTTATACAGGAGGGACTGTCCCTGCACATGTCCCTCGGATCACTGAAATCTCAGTTTTCGGCACTTCCATCCTGTTCCAAAGACCTCTCGCCTTGTTCCCAGATGTTAGGATTTTTCTTCAGGGAATGGCCCACATAAAGCGCCCGGTACTTTCACCGGTGCCAAATTGGGACTTAACCCTAGTCCTACGTGCCCTGCAACACGCTCCCTTTAAACCCATGGATTCTATTCCACTTCAGTGGCTCACATGGAAAACAGTTTTTTCTGCTGGCTATTGCCTCAGCACGGAGAGTATCTGAGATCTCTGCCCTCTCCTGTAGGTCTCCTCTGTTGACCTTCCACAACGACAGGGCAGTACTTCATACTTCTCCCTCTTTTCTTCCCAAGGTGGTTTCCACTTTCCACCTCAACCAGGAAATTACGATTCCTACCTTCTGCCCATCCCTTTCCAATGCGAAGGAAGCAGCACTGCACACCCTCGACCCCGTTAGGGCCCTCAAGTTTTACCTGCACCGGGTCGAGGACATCCGTCTATCGGACTCCTTGTCCTTAGACCACCATATCCTGATGGATAAAGCAGGCCATCCAGAGATCCTATTCATCACAGGGTCAGGTTCCCCCAGATCAATCGGGGCACATTCCGCCAGAGGGCTTTTCGAAAATAAGCCTCAGCGGAACAAGGCTGCAACGTGGACTTCAATCCATACTTTTGCCAAATTTTACCAGTTTGACACCTTGTGGCATCTGACACCCACTATGGCAGGAAGGTACTTCAGGCTGCAGTGGCTGGTTCCACGTAGGCCTCTACTTCCCGCCCTAGATTCAGGGGACAGCTTTGGTACGTCCCCACTGTCCCTGTGTCCCCCAAGCAGACCTAGAGAAAAGGAGATTTTGTGTACTCACCGTTAAATCTCTTTCTCTTCAGTCGCTTGGGGGACACAGGGCTTCCCTCCCTGAATAGAGGCCTTCTCTTGGCTTCAGACTGTTCTTCTTGTAATTAGTTATCAGATTTTCTGTTGATTATTGATAACCTCCTGTTTCTCCTTTGGTACGAACTGAGTGTCTCTGCCTACAGAGGAGGGGTATAGCAGGAGGAGGAGGGGTCAAGTTTCTATTTTTTTAT